GTGTGTGTGTGTGTGTGTGTTGTGTGTTGTGTGTTCTCCTGTTCACTATACACACTCTACAACAAAAAAGCAGACAGTGCTAGTAGGACTTTCTCTGACTCATCAAGAGGTTGAACCTCAACAGTCTCCCCAGAATGCACTTGAATGATGGATAAGGAAGGAGTCACCACATCGCCCAAGAGTTAGCGATACCTGTGAGAAAAGTGGTCGACTTCACTCACACCAACCCTGCAATCCTAGCAGACTGTTGGTTCAAACCTCTCTGTGCGTGTGTTTTCAACTTTCACCACAACAGACCCTGTTAGGCTGTTCCACCCAGATGAGTAGATCCAAAATTGTGTGTCTGCAGGTTCTGCGTTCCCGCAGTAGATCCAAACGATTCGCTCTGCGCTTCTGTTCAAACATGGATGCTGGTCCATGCTTGTGCAATCACTACCGCAGTGTAAACTCACTCATGACACTGTCTACCACATTTTTATTCTCAGAATTTGTCTCCCCACAGCTCGTGCTTGTGCAATCATTCGTGCATTGTCAATCAAAGCACAACACCAACTTCAATGTCGCTCTCATCAGCGCTTCGGCTTCCATTATATGTTTCCTCAGACATCAGGGGGATAGGTTTTCCTGATATGCATGCAGTGTAAACTGAGGCGCGCCATAGTTTAGGCATGCCAAATTTTCCCTCCGACATACCTGTGCGGATATTCAAGAACGAGATGTCGTTTCGCCTCCTGTCCCCAATTAATTGGGTAATCTGCCTCTTTCAATTCAAACCTAGGTGAGCATTTCCTCCAACGTATGTGCGGCATTGTGAGCTGATCTTTTTCAAGTATTTGCCTTTCTCCCATGTCTTCCCCCACCTTCTGACATGAGGTTGCAATACATCGTGAATGCATTCGTTTCAGGACTTTCAGCATACAAGTCAGCCGTCGCTTCCTAATCATGCACCAGTTCCGGTCACGGGAGGCTGTGTTATTCAGAAAAGCAGCGGTGTAGCCGCTAGGCGAATGAGTGTAATCTGCCGGTGTGGCACAGGCCGAAAAGGCATCCCCACGCAAAAAAGTTTGCTGTTCGCAAGACACATTTATCACTAACCCCGCACAGTTAATCCCCTGGAAACAGGGCAATCAATGCTGGCAGGCCTTCTGATGTTCAGTGGGACGCTGGACCCGTTTTCTAGCAGGTGCTGCTCCCCACAAATAGACCGGAGCACCTTAAACCACTAGTACCTTTGTCAGTGGGCCTCCGACCTTTCAGGAGGCCGAAATGAAACGACAGCCACCGATCAGATTTATCAATGGCAGCCGTTGTCGGGCCCGGCCTCCAAAAAGTTTGTGAGCTGGCTAAAACTTGTCGAAACCGGACGCCAAAGGTACTAGTGGTTTGAAAAATATATATATAATAATAATAATAAAAATAAAAAATCATGAACCGGTTTGTTTCTGCCGTGCATTCGACAGAAAAAGGGTGGCTATGATAGATTGCGGTGCAGATGGCGTGCCAAAGTTGGTGTACATGGTCATCTGAAGCATGCAGCACGTCTTCTGTTCGTGGTGGGGGGGGGATTCCCGTTTTGGGAATCGTATGTACATGGATTATCTTCGACAGGCACGAAATCTCAATGGCTGCAAACCATAACACCAAATGGAAACAAGAAATATCCTCGACATGCACCAAATTTCAGTGGCTGCAGACCAGAACACCAAATGGAAGCAAGAAAAAAAAAAACTACGTACTAGGAAAAAATTTCCAAAAAAAGAGAGAATCTTCAGAAAGTAGCTGAATCAAATCGTAGCTTTCTCATTAGCGTTGGTCGCAAATAAAGAACGTAGTTTTCAAAATCACCGCCAACCAAGCCCAAGTACGCGCAGCCTTTTATGGCATTTAGTTAGCTGCACATATTTATTTAATTACTACCAGGTTTCGTCTCCACGGCTCCCAGTTTCGGGAAGAGTCTGTACATGGATTATCCTTGGCACTGACGAAATCTCAGTGGCTGGAAACTATAATACCAAATGGAACAAGAAGAAAAAGAACTATGTGCATTCTACATATAATATCCATCAAATACGCAAAACTTTAGGGCCCAGAAATCATAAGACCCAATCGGAACAGAAAGAAAAACTATGGACACACATCCAAAACTATCAAGGCAAGGAACGGAGCTGAAAGCGACCTTGTGGACAGACCTCAAAAACTGTCAAGGCAAGGAAAGGAGCTGAAAAGCGACCTCGAACTTCTTTTGTATGGTACCTTTTTCATGTCCATTAAACTCCATTTATTTTTCATGTATATAGTCCTATTATAGGCTATTATCCATTTATACGGGAATCCAGATTGACTATTTTCTATCATGCCCGGAAGGTCATTGATGATATGCCTGGTTCAGATCAGCATGCGCTTGAAATCCTTTCCCTCCTGCTGCTTGCCAAAAGATGGATCATGCCACAAGTGGCCCTACAGGCCCCTACTGCACCACTCGCCAAACATCGACATTTTGAATGCATCGGGATGACTTCCAGGGTTGGATGCATTCAGAAAGTTGGCATTTGGTGAGCGGTGCTGTGAGGCACAAGGGCACAGCACCTCAGCAGCACCCGTGGTTAACCTTTTGGTCAGCTTCTGAGATACGCAGTCGAAAGGAAGACATGACCCGCACAAGAGTTTCCACTCTCAAGACTTTAGCCACACGACGACCAGGTAAGACTGGCCAGTGCACTTGGATTGCCAGGCATAACTGAACCCGAGGTAAGGCTCGTCAATGCACTCGATTGACCGGTCTGACTGGACCAAGTGTTGCATATCAGTCACGTAGAGCCCTCGATACTGGTAGGGTGATGGTCCTGAGTGCTGGTCACACTGAGGTAGGATAGTAGGGACAGGGGGTGCGCTGGGAGTATTAACGTGGGGATGGGTAGGGTAGGTGGCCTATCCTGTCAGGACAACCACTGGCTGCCGCTACCAGCAATCACCGCGGGTCTGGTCCTTGGCCTCTACAACACCCTGGGCTTTAAAAAACCAAAACAAAACAAAACAAAAAAGAAAATAGCAAACCCAGAATGGAAACGGAGCCAGGACCATAAGGGCCAGTTTAAAAAAAAAAAAAAAAAGAATAGCAAAACTGCACTTTGGGAAATTCATTCGTACAGACACACTTGCGAGTTACATAAAGGTGTGGGCACTCCTGCCTCCGGACAAAGATTGGGCCAACCCTTGCAGACAGAGAAACAGCTGTGGCAGTTGGATCATCATCATTCCAATGGACCGATTGGAAAAGGGTGGGCACCCTGGCAAGCAGGGCAGTTGTAAAAGGTAGTGGCGGTCGCGCATAAGGGTTCTGCAGTGGAGGATTCTATGGTGGCCTCTGTGGCGGACGGATGACTCTTTTTCTTTTCTCTTTTTCCCAATTTGGCCCTTTCTATTCTGGGGGCCGTCAGTCCAGTTGCTTATCACCGACAACGGCGACAAGTATGTTTGAGCAAAGACAGTGGAGGGAGAGGGGGAGGAGATGAGAGAAGAAGACCAGCCTAACCCTTGTGGCACTGGCCGCCTAAGCAAAGGGGGGCCTGCTTCTGAGCACCCCACCCCCAAATCTCTGCCCCTCTACGGTGAATTGTCCTACTGGTCGGGAGGCTTACTAGCAGCACCCAGGCACGAAGTCGCAGAAACTCCAGGGGGCAGAGCGCCGGGGGGGGGGGGACGTTCAGGGCAGTCCCTGAGGCCGCTTGTCCAGTCCTTGGCTATTTCCCTGCCTGTCCGAGTCATACCTAGATCCTGCATGCAGCATATCCTGCTTCATGTCTCTTTGTATCCCTTTCCCAATCTCGATGAGCCCCCGGTCCCCAACTGGTCCTCTATAGCAATCTGCTGTTCTAAGCCTACCTTTGTGCTATCAGACCCATCCTTCCCCTGCTGTTGGCTTTATGGGGGTCTTGATGTGTGTCCCTCCTACTGTATAAATGCAGCCTTAATCGAACTAGTTAGACATATTGATGGCCTCAGCGTTTTCCTTTTTTCCTTCCATACCTTCGATGCCTATTCCCCGCGACATCCTGCGTTTTGGTGTTTCTGCATGCAATCCCCCTCTAAGCTAGTCCCCCCCTATACAAACTGTGTCCCCCCCCCCTACCTTTCTACCCCCTACGCTCCCACCTAGTTGTTATGGCACAATCTAAAATTATCATATTTGCCCTTCTGCCCGTTCCACCTGTCTCTGGTACCTAGCTATAGTATAAATCGGTTGCTTTCACAGATGACTCTTATGGTCAGTCAGTTTTTTTGTTTGTTTGTTTTTTTGCGGTGGGGACGGGGGGGGGGGGCGATGACTCATATGGTCAGCCACTCGTCAATCACCATTCAGAAAACCACCGCCATCCGGATTCACACCAACACAGGAATGAATCACAAGCCATCAGCTATCACTAGCCATCGCAGCAGCAAAGAACAGGACTTTCCACGGTGCATTTGACCCAAAGTAAACTGGACGAGATACGATTGGACTGATCCAACAATCTGTATGCATGGGAACGATTTCCACCTCCAAATACATTTTACAGTGCTGCGTAATAGAGCGAGGCCCGATTTACAGCGGCGGTGTTGTTTTGTTGAGCCTGTCTCCGTTTTCTACACAAAAAGAAATCGAGTTTATCATCATCTGACAACTGCCGTCATTTTTCTCACGTGAATCTGACAGCACCGGCACCGTCATCAGGGTGTAGGGTCATCGACAGTGGAGTGTGAACAGGAATTTTGTTGGATTTTCAAGAGTGGTGGGCCGAACCTACAAGTTTTCCCTGGCACTAAGATCAAAT